AGCAGTACAAATGGAGATACACGAGTGTTGAGCTTCAGAATGTTTGCCGATGTAGCGTCGCTGTATCTTGATAACCATAATGTGTACAATTCCTCCAGTGATGTTGAAGATGTGTTGAAAAGTACCAGCAAACTAAATGAGGTGAGATGCTCTCTCTTCCTTAGAGTTTTTTCTGCATGGAAGAGTTCTTTATTGTAATTAATTACTGCACTTTCCTTTTTTAGTCCAAGCCTTAAATTCATCTAGTGGAAACATTTTGCGTCTGGCATTTTTAAAGAAGGCCTCTTTTTAAGTGGTAATGTACTTGTTGTCATTGATTTCTCGTAGGTTATTAATAATCACTTACTGCCTCAGTATCATCTTATCCTGCAAGACCAAGATCCTTTACCAGCATATGGTCTTAAACTGTTGTTATCTTTCTTGGAAAGAAGCCCCGACATCATCCACACAGTTGTGGATCAAAAGCTTCTTCTTACCATGTCCCAGATCCTACAGTCCCACACCGACCGAGTCGACAGGGGAATGGTGCTGAGTACAGTTGGTTTACTGGACTGTTTGGTTTCTGCCAAAGATGTTGACGTTTCTTTGTTATACGACCAAGGTTTAATCGATATCCTCGTTTCCGTTTTCGTTGACGTTGCGTCGGCACAAAACGAGGAAAATTTTACTGGAAATGACCCCTCAGTGGCGCTGTTGCTTCCCCTTTTCGATGCTTTGAATAACACGTTGAAATTCGTCTCCAGAGAAGTACGCAAAGCTCTGCAGGCGAAGACTGAGGCGAGACCAGACAACGAGGCTCAGACGCAACCGGCGGAGAAGCTCCTTGTGGAGAGTAAACCGCTGGTCGACATGACTGGCTTGCTTATCAACTTTCTCTGTCACGAGGACCTGGATGTGAGAGACAGTTCTTGTAGGTGCTTGTATCTAATGGTGGAACTTTTTGGAGGGATTTATGAGGACTCTCTAAGCGCGGAAAACATGGAGTGCTTTGCGGAGGCTTTGAGCGCCGCTGACGTTAAGAAACAAAAACAGCTTTTACGAATTATCAAACGATTAGTTTCTCCCAATATACAGAGCAATTATTTGGAAGGAAACAGTTTGCAAAGACTCATTCATGTTCTGCAAGGACTGCCGACTTCAACGGACTCCTCCAGCGCAGAAGGATCGGCTGTTGAAAGCCTCGTAGGAGAAATTCTTCTCAAATTCGGCCATGATAATTAGCCCCTCTGGCTGAGATTATGATCTTAGCCGACATAGAAGGGTTGTTTTAAATTATTTTTCCTGTGGTGTTATCTCGAATGCCGCGCAGTAAAGTGTGTTCACTTCAGATTTTGATAGTGATTAATTCCCGAGGAGAGAAGGGGTATTCTGGGGATGTTCTGCCAGGAGGGGGGTTATTCTGGGATGCACCCCCTGGTCAAATCACTTACCACTTTCGACCGGAAAAAAATGGAAAACAAAAACCCCATCATGAGACAACAGTAGAAAGCTTGAAACGCCCCAGAATTTTTAAGTATACTAAACGAAGTTGTTTATTTAAAAGAAAACTATGGGCGTCATTATTTCTCTCTCAATTAATATCTAAAAACCGGTATTCCTCTCAGAAAAAGCGCGTGTTTATTTTATCTTCGGTTTGTTACAATTATGCCCGATAGTTAACCTCTCAGTTGGGGAACAAATGTTACTTGATATACATTCTTTTAAGAGTACAACTTTCCCACTATTATTACCGTCCATCTCGTGTAACAGGAACAGGCTTTTAGCAATTGAACCCTTGACAGTTTCCGTCCTGCTTTCGTTACAATTCTTCAGTTCGCTCTGAGACTAAATGACCATTCGAATTTGCTTACGATGACAAATTCTACAAACTGGAGTAACAAATGTTCCCCGATTTGTTTTAATTTGCTGTTTAAAGGTTTGTAAGAACTCTTGAAAAGTGACGAAAATATCCGAATCTCCTTTGACAATAGTCGCTCTTCTTAAGCTTCAAGGACCAATCTCCCCTGTCACTCAGAGGAGACTATACTCTTGCTTCCTGAGCGAACTTGCCCGCTTAATCAAGTACTAACAGAACATGATTAAATTGTCCTAGGTACCTCTGTCCTTCAATCCCTACCGAAAATGAAACCAGTTTGTATGACCTGTGGAGTTCATGATGATGCTGGGTAAATAACTTTAATCTCAGTAGCTGTGACTAAGAAGGAGGGACTTTAAATTTAACATGGAATAGAGGAAACTTGTAACACCCCCCCGCTCCTTCCGTTTCCTCAGTCTGCAGAATCCAGCTTGAAGTACCCCTTAAGTCATTTAAGCAGTCTTCTTTCTGTGACCTCTTCTTTCAACCTAGTTCCCAGATCTCCAGTGGCGACAATGGAAGGGAGACCATGGGACCAAAGTTGTTCTTTAAAATTGTCCTGCCAAATCGTCAGTCCGCCAAACAGAGACACCGCAACTGAACTTTTAGGAAATGGGGGCTCGAAAGTATCCAATAACTTTTAAAAGTGTAAAACAGCAGACTAACGATTCTCAAGCTAACACATGTAAAGCTCAACTCGTCTAGGTATGTGAGACTGCCATTCCGACGGTAGAAATCTTACCAAGTGACTGAATCTGCTCTCAATCTTTTTGGATGTTTATGAACTAAGACGAAATTGAGGTTCGAAAACGAATATACAACAGAAGAAAATTAGTCAATATCCGGCCCCGTTAATCTCACACTTGTTAATAACCCAAGTGGCCACGAAAGGGGTTACAAGTATTGTCGAATCGAATCGAACGACTCGTCACGGTTGATGTCGACCCGTCATACCGGAAGTCGATTTGCAAGACACTTAGAAAATATTCGGCGAGTAACTACGAAAGGAAGTTGGAGATATTGTCGCATCGACTCGATTCGACTCGAATCGAACGACTCGTCACAGTTGATGTCGACCCGTCACAGCGGAAGTCGATTTGCAAGATACTTAGAAAATATTCCGCAAGTGGTTACAAAAGGGGGTTGCAGATTTTCTCGAATCGAACGAATACCCTAATTTAACGCTTAAGTATGTATTGTCTTCTTTTGCGAATCGACTTCCGGTGAGATGGATCGACTTTACTGATGACGAGTCGTGTCGACCCGTACGAATCGTGTCGATTGGTCAACATTCAATGCCCCTATTTAACCCTTTAGGAAGGAAGAAGGTTCATTTTAATATTGATAATATTCTGACAATGGACTTCCGGCCGTTTCACGCTTTAAGAACGTGGAAGGTTCATGTTGTCATTTTCTCTTTTCATACTAACCATTTTCACACATTGCTCACGCCCCTCGACTTCCGGTATGTTAACGCACGATTCGACTTCCGGTATACCATGCTACTCATTTCACACATTGCTTACCGCCCTCCACTTCCAGTATGTTAACGCACGATTCGACTTCCGGTGTGTTGATTCGTCAGCGACCATAGACGAATCGTAACGGTTTGGATGTATTGGACATGTATGATTGAGGCTATCCAAACAGAAACCACATTTCGAACACCACACCTTTGGTCTTCGTCAGGCAGTGAGGTTAATTGAACATGAGGCTCCAACAACAGAATATTCGTTCGTTCGTTTTTATTACAGGTGCGTTTTGATGTGCTGTCATCAATGCATTTTGCTAACATCATGAATAATAATGACTCATATGCTTAAACTACTATTTAATCTGTTATGATAATGATTAATTGGTGCATCAGTTAAGAAGCTGTTCCACTATGTAGCCCACAAACAAGGATTACATCGTGTCAGCGAAGGAGGGATTACATCACTGTGATATTCTTCGTAAACTTCTGTTATTCGTCTACAGAATGAAAAATAAGGAGACAAAACAACATAAGCAAGTACGCAAAATATAGCTCGATGCCAATCAATTCCCCTATCTTAACCGTTAGACTCCCAAGATCTGATTGAAATTCTTCCTTTCAGCTATTATACTTTGACCAGTAAACATGCAAGTTCAGAAAATTTAGTGATCTATCAGGAAAAATACCTATCAGCCGATAGATTTATCTCATCTTTTCATCTGCATGCTCGCTGGATAATGTATTTAAAAATAAGCACTAAAAAGAAGTTACATGCTCATTACTGCAAAAATTGAAGGGATGCCATATCTAATGTTTGAGCTTTACTGCCATATTGCAATTACGTATGTAATTAAAACTATAAAAAAATTCTCGAACGTGATTGGTTATCACCAGCCCGATTTCAGTACTAAAAGGACAGTGTACGCGTCATGCTTTTAATTGGACAGTTTAATAGGAGAGTTATAGGGACAGTCAACTTGTTATACCTGCGTAAGTGGACAGAGCGCGTCATGTGCGCGCGCTGTTGTCTCGCATTTCGCCGATTTAACTGTTGTTTTTAATGTAAAGGTCCAGTCTCTTTCCAAAATGTTTTGATTAATTGGTAACAGGACTTCGAGTCGTCCAATTCTTTCTGGTAATGATACTCGTAATTGAGAAATCGAACTCTTGCTTCGCGTTCGTCTGATTTTATTTATCACTCGTTCGATTAGCGACCGTATCGAATTCCACCCAGTCCAATTACCATTACAACTGGCCTTAGACCTGGTCACTACTCTTTAATGAAAACCAGTCCATTGCGCTGAGTTTCCACTCTGCCCCACCTCCATTTCTCTCCCCCACCCCCCTTGCCGGTACACTGATCCTTTGATTTCACTTGTTGGAAGGAGTCGTTGTGAGGGTTGAACGTCTCTGCGTAAAACCCGTTAACCGTTTAACTCCCAAGATCTGGTTGTTAATTCTCCACTCTAGCTGCTACACATATCCTTGTAAATTAGTCATGAGAAGTTGGTGTAAGATCAAGATAACTTCTACCTGATAAGTTTGAATATTCTCATCGCCTGTTTGCTGGGTAATGTAAGGATATTAAAGGGAGAAGTTTCATGTTAATCATTTCTGAGACTTAAGCACAATAATCCAGTCAGGGATAAAAAGTTCAACTAGTAACTTACTTTGACAAGAGTAAGAGTAAAGCTCCATTCTCATTCCGATGTAAAGATACCATTCCATCGGGAGAACTCGAACGAAACGAGCATCAATGACCGGGTTAAGATCGTGATACACAACTGTGTTCCTGTCAGTGTTTCCTAAGAAAACCTGAGTAGAATAATAAGGAATGTAAAATTGACGAATGTATGCATTACACAGGAGCGGTAACTCTAAACCTAGAACCTTAGTTGATGCTTTTCTACATGTTCATCAGCAATCAAAAATGAATATAGATATAAACTAACAGAGTTTGATCTCACTAATTTCTACTACTCGTCTCAGACCCACCAAAAGCGAAAAAGAAAAGCTCATATTTGAATATATGATGAACCTCGTAATAGTCCAGCTGCCTGTCAGGTGGCTGTGGCGTAGCGTTAGTGCATTGGAGCGAAGAATTCTAAGGTCTCAGGTTCTATTGCTCTTAGGGACTCTTGATTGTTTTTCGTTGTCTCACCCTCCCAGCAAGAAAAAAAGAAAACATTTTGTTCAAAAAGTCATTAGTATTCATACCGTTTCTGATGTGTCTCCATTTCGACTGTAGACACTGTAAGTTTGTCCATCGTCGCCATATTGTAGCTTGTATTCAGTAACCCACTGATCTAAATCATGTCTCCCCTGCGTCGCTATGCCTATTACACTTGTGATATGCTGAAGATCTACTTGCAGCCATTGGTTGGTGTTTAGCAGACCAGCTGCCCAGCCAGCAGATACAAACGTCAACGGGTCTCCCTTGAAATGTAACCTTGCATTTTGCGAGCCATGCTTATAATTATGAATAGATGATGCAGTGATCTGCGGGTCAGTAATAACTCCATTTTCCATACCTAAGGGAACTGGGCCTTTTGGTGATTCCACACATGTATTTTAGACAGAGAAAGACAATCACACATATTGACAAGTTTACCGCTGATTGCAGATGTTTTCAACATTTGAACAGAAATATAAAAATCAGTGCAGTTTAAAGTTTCGACTTCTCTTCAAGGATTTAAATAAGAAAAAAATTAACAGGTAAGAACTCTCCGTATATTAAAAGTCTCTAAACTTCAAGTCATGGTTAAGGTCATCTCGTACCCCCGGACGGTATATAATACCGCGGCACCTTCGGAGTATCTAGAGGTTTTTTCGGATAGGGATTGTCTCATAAAATCCCTAGATGTGCTTAATGTGTCGCCGTAGGCAAACTTTATTTGAAATTAAGAATAACTTTTAATTGGGAAAATACAGATCTTCAACGTCTTAGACAGCTTGTTATTATTTTCATCTTTTATTTTTGTTCAGCAATGACCCTCGCAGTATTTTCCCGTTCAATAATTTTTTTTAAAACCACATTCGAGGACTTTGAAGGTGGCAGATAAGGTCCAGAAATGGTTCGGGCAGGTTCACCACGATGGGACACTCATTGACGGGAGGCCTCTTGACACAAAAACAAGAGGCGAGTAACTCCTCAGTGGTGTAAGTGCAGGGTCTTAGACATTAATTTTAAGATTATTTTTCTACTCTGCCCTACTTACATTTGTAGCTGACAACTTTAAACTCTTCCTTGAAAACTTGACAGTTATGCTGCTCAGACATGAAAATATTTATTTCTTTTTTAATCAAGAAATCAACTAGTCATCCTTGTTAATCATCAAATAGAAACTCATCTTTAAATTTTTAGCCTAAAGCTAAAACTACAATTTTGTGTCTCAAATAAATGTTACCCTCTTTCAATCCACAAAATCATTTGAGAAGGCTCAACACAATTAATCTTATTGTGCTTCGGAGCACTTTGCAAGTATCATTTCTTTAAAGATACAGAAAATTTGGAAAGTAGCCTATTTTATATTTTTATGTCAACATTCGCAGTAACGCCGCTAATCATTCTCCACTCGCATTTATAAATAGAGATGAAAACCCGACATTGCGCCTTACTATAACTTGACAGGGATCAAGGGATAGACGCATTACTCATGCAGATGAGACAGATGATAAATGTTTACTTCTAACGTCGAAAAGATAAGTATTTACGAGACTGAGATGTCAAGAATAAAATAAAATCTCAGGTCAGAGGCTTTCGTGTTCTGATATTCCTCTAACAGAGAATTCATCAGTAAGCTAGTTCCCTTCTCGTGACAAAGAGAAGATCGTAGCTTTTCCGTCTTTTATTTCGATGTGTTCCAGTAGATAGACACATACACACTTTTTTAAGATGCCCAACTCTTGCATGGATCATTACTTAAAATAGATAAGACAAATTTTTGTTACCTTTTTGACGTACAATTGAGTGTAAATAGCTTCTTCGTCATATTCCAGTTCTTTTCCTTCCTCAAGAGGGAAGACTCCTCTGTCGTTCAACTCACAGGTTCCCTCAGTTTTGGAAACTTTTCTGAAATTTGTTGAAACGCATCGAGGGTCTCTCTGACATAGCAAACCACAGGATATCAGGCTTGCAAAGTGAAATGTTTTGAACGTAAAGCCTTTGAGTCGGCGATGATTGCGAGTTATCACAGGACAAGAAAGAGACGCTTCCTTACAAATAAATGCTTGAGATGCTATGACCTCGGACAATAATAACACAATTAAAATAGCACACAGAAAAAAATTCATTTCAGATTTTTTTCGGTCGATACTTCCGCCTTCGGTGCGTATAGTCAACTTTGTAACAGCTTCGGGAAGATTTTAATTGATTTAAAAGGAGTCCATAGATGTTTATTTAATACATTTCTTTCCATTATGACAATGGACGGGCTAATTGAAAGGATGCTCTGAGAGCTGAATAACAGAATAATTAATATTGTAATCGTTAAGTAAATGTTAAAGAGAAATATATTTGTCCGTGTGAAGTGTTAATTTCGTCAGCCATTTCTGTCTTAATAAACACTGAAATATATCATCTTATTCAAGGAAAGAAACCAAAAACAAAACAAAACTGTGAATTTCGCCTCCCCTTAAAATTCAAATCTAGTTTATTAGTTGTTGTCATTTAAATGTTCTGGTCAACTCGAAAGGCCTTACTGCCATTGTGAAGATGATAATTGATACCCGGTTAAAATTTCAGATCCACTTTATCAATTGTTATCATTCAAATGCTGTGGTTGTAAACTATGGAAGCTTCAATGCAGTTGTTGGAATGGTAATTGGTATCCGGCAGTTTCTTTATAATTTATTCAGCACTTATTGTCTTAAAAGAAAAACTCTCTTCGTAACCAACACTTATTCTCATAAAGAAAACACACTTTGTAGTAAACTACACATAGCCAGTCATACTTGAGTCGAGGATAAATGCGATTCTACTCCCAATCAAACTCTGCAAAAATAAGCGGCTGATCTCTCTTAACTCTCGACATCTGCCGAAAATGAAAACTCTTTTGTCTTATATCGCTTTAACTTACATGTTAGCCGACTATCAGGATTCACCTTCAAATCTTTCATTCTGTAAGATTAGCATCCAACAGTTTGCAATTTCAAAGAAGTTAGGTTAGGTTAGCTTTCAGTGAAGTCGCCTTTGTATGCCCAAGTCGGAAACTGAACTAATTTTAAAAAGTTTATGTAAGCAATGTTGTTATTTTCAATCACAGTATGTAAGCTGTCAAGAAGTTGAACATGGCGCGGCAGTTCGTGCTGCGAACTAACACACTCCAAAGATTAGATCTATACGTAAAATATCCCAACAACATCTGCATATCAGAGAATATTGTGGTATTTCTGCAAAAGCGGATAAAAACAAAAGGATGGATAAAAATAAAACAACGATCTAGCGTCCTTAACGTTGTCGCTCTAATGGCGGTAGTATATCCGTTTAGTATAAAAAAGCCGTCCATCCCCCTTGATCACAATGGCTGCCGGTGTATCCATCAGAACAGGTGCACTTGTACTCATTAGCAATATTCCTGCACAATCGACCCTTTAGACAAGGGTTTTCTACACAGTGGTTAATGTCTGCGCAAAATAGAAGACTGAAATGATGTCTTGGTTGGAAATTGATGTCGATTCAGAACACGAGACTCCAAAAGAGCATGTTCGTTCGTTTTTACAGGTGCGTTTTAATGTGCTGCCACGGGTGCGTTTTGCTTCTATCATGAATCAGAAAGACTATTAAGCTAAAACTGTCAAAAATTAACTAGCTAATCAGTCTAGCAGCTACTATTCTCGGAAACCAAAATCATCAACATCGTGTCAGTAACTGAGGGATTAAATCACAGTGACATTCTTTTTAAAGTGCTGTTATTCGGCTACAAAATGAAAAGTAATAAGAAAAAAAACAGTATTAATAAGAACGTACAAGATAGTTTTGGCCGTTTTTCTCAATTCTCCTGCCTTAACCGTTAGACTCTCAGGATCTGATTGAAAATTCTTCCTTTCAGCTCCTATACTTTTATTTGTAAACAGGTTCAGATAATTTGATGCTTAATCAGATACAAAACCCATCAGCTGATAGATTCATCTCATTTTCTCGCCTGCTTTAAGGTTATGTATTAAGAACCTAAGGATAAGTTTCATTTTTATCACTGCTAAAAGTTAAAGTAACGCGATGTAAAATGCGTGAACTCCTATAAACGCTAAGTGTGAGCATTAAGGTCAATTCAGTGACTTTAAACAAGGGAACTATTCTTTAATTTAGTGTCAGTCTATTGTAGTATCCAGTGTTCTCCTTTTCAGGCGGTAACCGGTAACATTTACCGCCTGTAGTGCCTCTTATTACCGTTTAGAATCGCTTGGAATTCTTGAAATTCAACAGGTAAAAGGATTGCTTTACCGGTTTGAAAATTTATTTTACCTGTCATGCTTAAAATAAGGGAGAACACTGATACAGTATCTGTATTTTATTACAATATTTATCAGTATTATTATATATCAGTACATCATCCGTACAACTTATATTTGTATGGTCTACCAAAGGAATCACTCAGGAAACTATAGCGCGTTCAAAATGCAGCAGCCAGGATTGTTACTCATACGCGTAAATGTGATCATAAAACATCAGCACTTTGTAAACTCCACTGGTTGCCTATTGAAGAGCACATTGTTTTAGGATTCTTTTATTGACATTTAAATGCTTGAACCGCTAAGCGTCAACATTCCTCTGCGATCTTATAACAAAATATGTGCCCAGATGCTATTTAAGATCAATTAATGGCCATCGTTTGGTTGACGTTGTTTACAAACTTACCAGATATGGTTCAAGATCATTTTCTGTAGCCTCGGCTAAACTCTGGAACGCACTGCCGCTGGAAATCCGTTCAAGCGTCAATTTGTTGCAATTCAAGCGCAATCTTAAAACACATCTTTTTAGGAAAGCTTTTTAACCAGATATTTTACTATTGGTTCGTCAGTTAAATAGTTCTTTAGGTAGGTAGGTAGGTAGTTAGTTAGTAAATTTCATTACGAGGTTTTATTATTCTTAGTTTTTATACTAGTTTTGACAGCTTAGTTATTTTATTAGTTAGTTTATCGTACTCATGTTCTAGATATTTCTACGTGAGATATTTTCAAATCATTGCATAGCGCTATTGGATAGCGATAGAAATAGCATTATATAAATGAAATATTTTTATCATATTAATCTCAGATTCGTCTGTCGCGAAAAATTAAGGACTTGTAATATTTTCCTGTTGCGGACTAGAAGAGCCAAGGTGTTCAATGCCAATTTTTAATCATGTTATTATTATTATTATTATTATCAATTTTTTATCATTATTATTATAATTATTAATCAATACCAGTTTCGCTCTAAGAAGTGTAATACCAGTTTCTGAACCTTAACAGCTGTACAAAGTTCCTTTACTGTGCTATTAATTTTCAACAATTCCAAAGCATAATATCTCTGGCTATCTGAGTATACACTCACACGCGATATTCATTTGCATTTTGGCAGGTTTAACTAAAACAATTGGTAAACACGTTTTAACGGCATGCCAACTCATCAGAGGTTCCTTGCCGCTCTTTTCATAATGAATACTGACTTATGTATCCACTTCAAACGAAACAAAACCAATTACATTGTTGAAGTAGTTAAGAGACCATGAAAAATTACATATTTTATTACAAGACACTACCTTGGTTTTCATCGAGGCCATCTAAACATAAGCTATATTTCGAACACCACACCTTGGGTCTTCGTCAGGCACTGAGGTTAATTGAACATGAGGCTCCAAAAAGAGAATATTCGTTCGTTCGTTTTCACAGGTGCGTTTTTATGTGCTGCCATTGGTGCATTTCGCTCACATCATTAATAATAATGACTTATACGCTTAAACTACTATTCAATCTGTTATTAATAACGATAATTAATTGGTGCATCAGTCAAGTAGGTGTTGCACTTTGTAGCCCACAAACAAGGATTACATCGTGTCAGCAAAGGAGGGATTACATCACAGTGATATTCTTCGTAAACTTCTGTTATTCGTCTACAAATAAGAAAATATGGAGACAAAACATCATAAGCGAGCACGCACAATATAGTTCAATGCCATTTATTTCAGTTCCCCCGCCTTAACCGTTAGACTTTCAAGATTTGATTGAAAATTCATCCTTTCAGCTATTATACGTTTAGCAGTAGACATAGTGCAAGTTCACAAAATTTGGTGCTCTATCAGAAAAAGTGCCTATCAGCTGATAGATTCGTCTCATCTTTTCATCTGTATGCTCGCTGGATGACGTATTCTGAAAATAAACGCTAAAAAGAAGTTACATGTTCATTACTTAAAAAATTGCTCAGGGTTAGGGTTAGGTCAGGGTTAGGGCTAGGGTTTAGGGTTTAGGGTTAGGGTTGGGGATGCCATATAAAATGTTTGAGCTTCACTGCCATATTGCAATGACGTATGTAATCAAAAGAATGAAAAAATGTTGGAAGGTATTTCGTTATCACTAGCCTTATTTGATCACTTAGAGGACAGTGTACGCATCATGCTTGTAATTGGACAGTGTAATAGGACAGTTGAAGAGGATGTTATAAGAAACACGTGAAACCTGCGTAAGCGGATAGAACGCGTCGTGTACGCGCGCTATTGTCTCGTATTTCGCCAAGTTGAATGGTGTTTTTCTTTATATTAAAGGGAGAAGTTTTATGGTTATCATTTCTTAGAGTGAAGCACAATAATCCAGCCAGTAACTTACTTTGACAAGAGTAAAGCTCCATTCTCATTCCGATGGCGCCAATCCAATCCATCGGAAGAACTCGAACGAAGCAAGCATCAATGACCGGGTCAATATCGTGATACACAACTGTGTCCCTGTCAGTGTTTCCTGGGAAAACCTGAGTAGAATATTGTGGGATGTAAAGTTGACGAAGCTATGCATTACACAGGAGCGCTAACTCTAAACCTAGAACCTTAGTAGATGCTTTTCTACATGTTTATCAGCAATCAAACATAAATATAGATATAAACTAATACAGTTTGATCTCACTAAATTCTACTACTCGTTCTCTAGCGTTCTCAAGTATCTCGACTTCACAAAAAGCAAAAAGAGAAAAGCTCATGTTTG